CAAAGCTTGAAGCTGAAGCACAACTTGCTTGGAGAGCTGGCAGCTGCTCCAAGCTCGCTTCTTCATGCTGGCTAATTACCTCATGCACACCTGCCTCAATCTCCTACCAACCCTCTCTCAAGCTGGCCAAACTCCAGCTGGCCAAAAAACCTCATGCAAACCTGCCTCAAATCCTAGAAACAACCTCTCTCAAGTGGGCCCCAATGACCTCATGCAAATCTGCCTCAAACTCCTACTAACCCTGCAGCTCTGCTTCCTTTTTGCTCTCAGCAGCTGGCTTCTAGCTGGCTGCTACTGGCAGCTGCCTGCTAGGCTTCAGCCACCTCCTTGTGATCTTTCTTTTCATCCACCTCTCCTTCAGGCTCTTCTTTTCCTTCAGGTTCTTCTTTTGGCACATCTTCCAACTGTTCTTCCACCTTGTCTTTGACTGGTTCTTCTACGTTCTCTTGTATCTTCTCTCCTCCCTCTCCCTTTAAATCTTCCAGGGCCAACTTCTCTTTTTTGTCTGGAAACATCTCACTGAGATCTGATCCTGCAGGGAGCTTTGCAACACCTACCTGCAAAACTCGGTCGCTCTTGCTGCCTACCTTTTGCATTGCTACCTTCCTTTTTGCTACTGTGGCTGCTGATGTCTCCAAACCTCCTGCCCCCTCCCAGCCAGCCAAGGAAGAGGCGAGGGAGAAAGAGATGAGAGAAGGAAAAAGGAAATGAACAACCAATACTAAATCAAATCTAAACTCAGTAAATCAAATGCAAACTCAAGTCTACCAATACTAAAATCAAATGGAAACTCAAGCTCACGTGGCATGCTAATTTCCAAAAGCTCCAGCATTACCAAATCAAATGGTAAACTCAGCTCAAATCTCCAAGCATGCAATTCATAGCATACTAAATCAAATGGAAACACAAGCTACAATTCTCAAAAGGGAAGCTTCCTGCAATATTAAATCAAATGGAAAACTCAAGTTGCACAATACTAAATCAAATGGAAACTCAGTTCCAAATCTCAAAAGGAAGCTCCTGCAATACTAAATCAAATGGAAACTCAGCTCCAAATCTCAAAAGGAAGCTCCAGCAATACTAAATCAAATGGAAACTCAGCTCCAAATCTCAAAAGGAAGCTCCAGCAATACTAAATCAAATGGAAACTCAGCTCCAAATCTCAAAAGGAAGCTCCAGCAATACTAAATCAAATGGAAACTCAAGTCTGCCAATACTAATTCAAGGTGCCCCCATCGTTGGGGGGGGGGGGACCCCCGTTAACTAATCCTAGGTGGACATTAGACACCCTCTCACTTTCTGAGTGGATCGGTCAAACACACCAACCAAATCTTCTACATGCCCCTAAACTGGTCCAACCCCCCCCCCTCGAGTGACGACCCCCAAAAAAAAACGGGTTTCCAGAAACCAAAGCCGAAACTGAACCGAAACCACTCTGAAATGGTTCCCCCCCCAAGGAAAAAAGAGAAAGTGACGCAAGGTCCAGGAAACGGAACCCAGGAAGTGGCTGTGGGCCAAAAATAGGTACCCCAAATGGACCCCTAAGTGGAAACATGGACCAAAACCTGCGGCCCCCTGCTGGTTTAATTGTGACCCATACCCAAGCAGCTTTCTCCCCTCCCCTCCCCCCCCCAGCCGCCTGGCGCAGCGCCATGCCCACCACCTCCGGCGGAGGCTGCCCTAAGCCCGGCGCCGCCTGCAGCAGCGCCTGGCGCAGCGGAAGCTTCGCGCGGCTGCGCGCGTGGGTTCGCGCAGGGCAAGCGGCGCCGTGTCCAGGTGGAGACCCCAAAGTGGCAAACGTTTTGTTGGTGTAGTGCCAGAATTTTGGGTGTGGCTCCTGGTTGCGTTTTTTTGTGTAGTTCCTGGTTCTGAGGCTTACCGAAGTGCCAGATTTTTTGGGGTGTGGCTCCTGGGTGTGTTGGTACCCCCTTTTATGAGGTTTTCAAGGGAAAGCACAGGGAAAACCGAGATCCAAGTTTTAGGCGTCACCGGGTCGCCCCAAAAAAGTTACACCCAAATAGGGGCTCAGGGCTCCGGCTTTGAACATCTGACGATACTGTGGGCCAGTTAGCAGGTCCCATCCACGTATTTCTTAACTTGGCAGCCACAAGCTGCTTGAAACCAGAAACGCTCGGGGAAACCAGGAACCCCTTCTAGATCCAAATCCCCAGCTGGAGGCATCACACAGCGAAGTTGATGAGTACAAACTCTTGCGGCCAGAGCTCAGAAATCAGAGCCTGGGTGGACCTGTGTCAAAACCAGGAGCCACCAAATACGAGTTGCAACTCATGAATGTCTCGTTTGTCCCTTTGATTTCAGTACAGTTTGCTTGTTGTACTACTGTATCCGTTCGAGTCAGTCGAGTTCTTTTCGCAATCTACAAATCTCACAGGCGACCATCGTGAGCGTTTTTTTTTTTTTTTTTTTTTTTTCGCAATCTACAAATCTCACAGGCGACCATCGTGAGCGCCTAAGACACAAGAATGGGGTTGGAGGGTACTTGAAACATGAAGTCATGATTCTAGGAGAAGCTAGCAATTCTTTCGCCCTTTCTCCTGCTTCACGTTTCCACTCGTTCGAAGCCCCCAGGTACAGAAGGTGCCTCTTCCCCCTCCCCCCACCCCAACAAAGATGAACATAGAACTCGGATTCGGATCCCGTGGTTTTCGTTGGCCGAGGATCCTGCTCCCTGCATCCTTCCACCAAAGGAACGCACACCGTGCATGGCAGGCGCCTCTATGATGTCCTCCGGCTTGACATCGTTATTTCCTTGGCTGCGGGTAAGAATTCGGCACACACATGCACAAACGCTCTCGGCATCAGCTATGCGTGCAGGGGCACCCATTCACGCACCCAAGCAAGGGGCGCAAGCAAGCAAGGACTGCCAGGTTGGATGCACAAGCAACCTCGAACATTCCCTAGACGGGGTCAGCAAGGCCAACTCTCAGCACATCCTTCGACCCCGCCACGTCAAGGGCAGTCAGCTTTTAGTCCTGGAGAATGTATTCGTGAAAAGTTCATCTCACTTCCCGAGTGAAGCGGGCAAGACAAGTCCAAACTGCTTATTTACAACAAAGACCGTCTTCCCAAAATGTATAGAGTCCAGGAACTCAGGAAGTGAGTAATGGCAATGTGGTTTGCTGACAGCTGTGTATGAGTTGAGTTGGAGACCCTGAACATTATTTAGCGGGATTCAATGTCCAACCACTTCTGAGCCTGCTGCTAAAATGAACGGCCAACTTCCATTTGCTTAAGCCGCCTGGCAAAACATCAGAAAATATGTCCAGTCGCGAAACACCAACAGTTGAACATTCATTTAAGCAAATGGAAGCCAAACGTATCCGGTCATCCTTCCTGGCTCTGAAGCAAGGCGCGTGCACGCAGAGGCATTGGCGAGGAGGAAGCGCCAGTTGCCAGATCTGCCTCCACATAGCCTCCTCAGTCAAACGCTGCTGCTACAAAAAGGGGGGGGATCCCCAATCCAAATCCGCACTCCGTACAGGAATGCCACCACAAGAAGGAACCACTGCCACCTGGCGTGAGTTGCAGAAGGATGGATTTAGATCACCCCAGCTTTGTTTTGGGTGTTTTTTGTCTTGCCAAAAGGACCCAGTTCAACGCATACGGCTAAAGAACTGATTTTGAACCTCAGACGCCAAACTGTCCAGCTGTTGCCATCCCTGCATTCAGGGCCCAGCCTGAAGGCACCGTGCTGTATTGCTCGGCAGCCAGTTTGGCTGTCATTATCTCCTTGAGGCGAGTCTGCCACTTGCACATGAAAACAGCTCAGCCACGGCGTGCTGTCTTTCACAGAGTCCCAGCTTTCAAGTTCCGTGGCGGTGACAAGGGGGGGGGTGCTTCTTGGATCCATAAGCGCGTGCAATACGAATGCGAGCACTTCAGCAGCCAAACCAACTTAACTGCAACAATCCCTGTTCAGAACACGGCAGATCTTGACCTCAGAGAGATAATGTCACCTTGCAAAAAGAATGCAGACCGCGAAACCACCGGGCGATTCACAAACAACCAAACAACTTGCCCTTGCCATGGTAAATTACGGCCCCCGTTTCAACATTAAACTTGAGTGTTGCTTGGTTCACCTTCACCGTTTGCACGAGTAAGGCCTACCTCGCGGCCTGCAGAATTTGCAAGGCAACACGGACTATCTTCAATTCAACAGCCGGGATGTTTGTGTGGAGCAGCGTCGCAATTCACAAAGCCAGCAAGCACAATGCCAACCTGATAAATACACAAGCAACATGCACAAATAAGCAAACGACACACACACACACAAGCAGACAAATAGGAACGCCCACACACACAGACAAACAGACACATAGCCAGACAAACAGACACGCAAGCAAGCAAACCAAGCAGGCAAATGCAACTCAACAACACAACATCACCAAACACAAACAACGAAACAAACAAAAGCAAGCAAGACCTCGAGGGTTCCCTTGCGGTGTGGCTTGAACCCCGCAAGAAACGGAAAGCCAGCCAGCCAGCCAGCCAGCCAGCCAGCAAGCCAGCAAGCCAGCCAGCCAGCCAGCAAGCACGCAAGCAGCAGAAACAAACAGACAGACAGACAGACAGACAGACAGACAGACAGACAGACAGACAGACAGACAGGCAGGCAGACAGACAGACAGACAGACAGACAGACAGACAAGCAGGCAAGCAGGCAGGCAGGCAGGCAGGCAAACAGTCAAATATGCCGACAAACAACCAGACAAACCGACAGACAGATGGAACAAAAAAAAATCACACTATGATCATGTGCTTGTTGGGCTCCATACTCATTTGGCCCTTGATTTGTGGCCATTGGAGTTGCTTATGGACATTCACAGCCACATGGTGCCCGACGTAGCAGGTGCAGGGTCACCCTTCTCCTCCTTGCTCGGCGTTCGGGCAAAGGCTTCTTGAAGCGCCTGCGCAAGTTGCAAGGTGTGGATCCTCCTTCTAATCAGCGTGGAAAACAAAAAAAAGAGTTCTCGCTGCGTGCTGCAGAGGGGCAAAAAACAAGCACTCAAGGCCAACTCGCCCAGAACCTATTGCTTATTTGTTGGCTCAAGATACCCCAAAGGGAGCCCCTACAAACTAACAGAAGGAATAGAAACAAATCACTCGTTCGTAGAAAGATCTCCTTTTGTGAGGGGGGCTCTGTTTGGAGGCCCCATGGAGGTGATAGCCACTCTCTCCTGGGTCAAGCCTGATGCTCATCCATGCCCACGACTTCCTGGGTACCTATTAAACGTGCTCAGGATCTACACAACTGCAGGCGAACTTCAATGCTTTGGTGTTCCACTGGAATGGTCGACCCAAAAAGTGAAAGCCCAGTAGGTCTGGATAACATTAATGCATCCCCTTGGGTCTCCATTTGGACAAGTTGCCGGCTGAGCACCAAGAAGGCCTACGTGCCCTTTGTAAAGGGAACCTTTTCAACGGTCCAAAATTACCTGGGGTTTGATTTGATTACCACCCAACACAATCCATGTAAAAAAAAAAAAAACATTAGGGCTTGTTTGTGGGTGGGTACTTCCACTAACACATCAAACTTCTGGGAGGCTGCCTGTACAGTCCTTTTCCCTTTTGTAGGGATGCCATAACTTGCTGCGACAAGTAGGAGAGAGAAATGGAATGAACCGTTTTGGGATTCCCTGAAAGGACACCACCAGTTGCATGGTTTTTCTTGCGGTCATTCCATTTCTCAGAAACCCTGCTGAGCACCAGCAAGCAAATGGGTGTGCCGTTTGTTAGGTTGGACCCCAAAATGGCTCCGGGTTTCCTTGCAGTTGCCCGCAAAAACAACAAATCACAAAAACCGGGGTAACAACAAGATACTCTCCCTTCCACTAACATGGCACCTGGCAAAGGGTCCCTTGAAAAGGAAACTAATCTTCCAGATACCCTCCCACAGGTGCTATGTTTGTTGGAGGAAGGGTAAGTAGTTGACCAAACTGGGGTCCTTGGTTCCCCTTAGTTCCCCCGTTAGTTCCCCCCTGGTTCCCCCGACCAGCCAGCTCAGTCTCTTGACCCCGCGGCCGACGTTTTGTTTTTCCTCGCGGAGGAGCGCCCTGGCCTTCTGCAGGTTCTCCTCCGTGGCCGGAAGGCCCGCCGCCTTCAGCGCGGCACCCACCACCTGGCGCACGCTTTTCGGCGCTCGTTCGGCGCTCGGCGGGGTTGCCGGGGTGGGCGGGGTGGGCGTTTGGCGCGCCCGGGCCGTTTTTTGCACCCCTCTGGTGGGTGTTTTTAGGAAAACCACCGCCTTTGGTGGTGTTTTAAAAGGGAAACCTGGGGGGTCCACCAAAAAAAGACACACCCATTTGGGGGGTCTTTCACCATTTAGAGGTGACACTATAGACGTAGATTGTGTTGCGATCTGCTTGCAGCCGGGTGCTTTGATGCAGTTGCATTTTAAGGGGCCCTCAGAATGACTTGTGAGATGCGGGGTTTTCCTTTAAACCACCAAGGAGGGCAATGCTGAGGGCGTCACTTCCATGGACACAAACAAAAAGTTGGAAGAATCTAGGTGCAACCATAAAGTGCATGAGCCGATGTGTTCTTTTGGGAAAAACCGCATGGCACCGTTTTTCATACTTGGCCAACCAAAAACCTCCAAATCCAAAACCAACACCAAAACAAACAAACAAAAGCCAAAAACCCTGCAACCCCCCTCCCCCCCCCCCAAAAAAAAAAAGCCGCCCCGTCAAACTCGGCGATTTTTGCAGGGCGATTCGATGTGCTAGCCATACCGAAAATGAGTGCCGCTTCCGTGGAGCTGTGGCACCCGAAGCCAACTGCATTTGCCCAAATTTGAAGGCATTACTGTGTTTGTGTTATGTATATGTACAGAAAACATGTGTAGAATGTGCAAAGCAGTGGATATACATATGAATATTTATAAATATGTCAAGCTCAGGCCGAAGTAAGTCTCACAAAAAAGTGGCTACATCCTACTGCTTCAGAAGCAAGCTGCAAACAATGGCTGGTATCCCTCGGCGGAGATGAGCAGGCGAGTCAACATCCTGCAGGATGCCAGCTGTTCGGCTAGGTGCTACATGGGCGGGGGGGACATTCCGCCAGGATCTGGGCAAAAAGGCAGAAGCTATGGGATTTGTTTCACCCAGCCAAGAAAAACCACCTGGCGCCCAAAACCCTTCAGCACGGGGCATCAACAGGGCCTCCGGAGGCGGCCGCCCAGCATCTGGCGCCACCTGGCAGAGTGTCTTCACCACATCCTGCGCGGGATGCCGCCGCTTCGGCCGGGGTCTTATGGTGTCGCCGAAATGGCGCAGAAGGCCCTGCCGGCCTTGGCCTTCTCAAATGCACGGGGCTCCATATTTCCTCCAGAACCACTCCGGCAGCCGCACAGTACAAGTCGCGAAGAGCCACATGCAGGGACTCTTATAGAATTTGAGCAAACCCTGATTTCTTGTAAAAGACCTGCCCTTGAATTTCGTTCCTGGTTGCCACCGCGAGAAAATCGGATCTCCAGAAAACATTCGAACGACAATTCTGAACATGACCCATCAAAATTGCAAACTTTGAACAGCCCAGCAACATGTTGTTCACCAACATAGATGTTCCGCGCCCTCCTGGCAAATGGGTCTCAAAAAGACTGAACAAAAACATCTGACATAGATCCTACGTCATCCTGCATCCTTACGGCACGTGCCTAACGTATGACAAAAGCGCGCACGCTGCCCCCTCCCCGTCCTCCGCGCTGGTCGGCAAAGTGAAGCTGGCAAAACGCAGTGCGACAGAGAAATCGCGGGGATTCTTTAACTCCAGAAGCTTCAAACACGCGTTGAGAAGGGCAAAAGGCACCTCTGATTGTTACCCTCCCACCCTTGTTACAAACGTAACCTGACGTTCGGGACCCGGTCCCTTTAAAAGGAAAATGGTCCAAACCAGGACCCCCCGAACGTCAGGTTCCATGTTTAATTGAAAGTGGAAGGGTAAATTGGCCCAAGAAGATCCCATTGCAAGCCTCACCATGTCGAACTATTTTCCGCCTGATGGCAAGGCTCCAACCAGTTGGTACTCAAGTGAAGGTGATCAACATGGCATCGTATCTGTATAAAGGTTCAACGGCCATACTACGATACTTGCCGAAAACCTGTAACAAGCTCCTTTGGAAAGGCTGGACGCCAAAAGAGACTGCACCAAGTACTGCGTCCAGCGTCCAGCATGACGCAAAGGTGCCCAACAAATCACGCACCCCCGGGCAGGCAGTCAAAAGCAACATTAGTTGCCAACAGGTTGGGATCTGTTGGTGTGCTTTCCGAGTAAGATGTGCGCTTGCCTTTTCTGACATTTTCTCGGGCAAGCATTGCTTGATTTCTCCCTGGGACGTCATTCATTTTTTGCGGCTGGCTTCACATGGAGGAAAGAAAGCAGCAGCGCCTGAGTGATTTAACGTGCCTTGCTACTGCCAACCAAAAGCATGCGCAACCTGCGAAGCTGGTAACTCGAAGGTCACTACTGGTAAAGTCGACCCATTCGAACCACCTGCCAATGCATCCCAAGCCACGCCACAACTCACAAGTTCCTTGGTGCTATCGGAAGGCCGTGGTTGCAAAGGGGAAGCAAATTGACAAAATGCACCTTCCCCGTCTGCACATCGTGAACCCCGCCCCCCCCGACACCCACTATCTTTTTAGATGCATCCTCGTTTGGGGGACCCTGTTCCATGTCCCCTGTTAATTTGCATGTGATCGTCGCGTGCCGTCGCGCCTGCCGCGTAGCGCTGCCACATCCGGCATACTGGCACGCATGCTCTCGAGCAAGCGCATGGCCTGCCGGAAGAAAGCTAGGTCAGAATTACCACCACCCCCACCACCGCCAGCACCAGCACCAGCACCAGCACCAGCACCAGCACCAGCACCATTCTGGTTGCGCCGTTGAATCAATTGTGTCAGAACCAAAACCTTGTGCTCAACCAAAGGCAGGTGAATACTCAAAAGGGCAATCATGTCCCACCTATGCGCAGTCGGGACGGTCCCCGACTAACCTCATGCCCGGGTTTTCATTGCGTGTTCTGGTCATTCATTGTGGCTAATCAAGCCTACGCTTGCTCCCAAGCTCTGAATTCAAGAATGATGTGAGGCCATTGATCGGGGATGCCGGCTACCTTTTCTTGTTGGACTGCCGGAAGCGCCACATCGAGGGGAACGCACATGGCCAGCCAATATGTAAGAACGAATTGATGTGAGCAGATTGATTCCCCATGATCAGCCAAACTGATCTGAAAGGCACCATATGCAACCACCATTTGATTCTGACCCAAATTGTTTGAGGCGGCTTTCGAGGAATCACGATCCGACAGCATCCGACTGTTGCATGTGCTGTGCATCCTGCATGGCACGAGAAATTTGACCATATATTGTTTTGATGGCAAACCACGGGTTGCTTTTCCATTAATCGAATGTGCCCAAGGCACCGAGCGGAGTCTGCCTGAATCGGCTTTTTCTTCATCTGTGCCAGCGCGTTGTTGAACGTAATTGCAGGCGTCGACTTAGCATCACGGTGCAGGAGTACTGCTCAACCCATGTGAACCTTACAGAGAAACGAGCCCGGAACAAGAACACAAATTCCCAGACCTGGCCAGCCACGTCCTACCCAAGTCGGACCAAACAACCCTCTACATTCCTGAGAATGTAGATAGAGCTGGCAGCGAATACTGCTTTCAATTGATTGACTAAGGCCTCCACTGGAGACTGGTATTTGATCTCCTGCTAAGGCATTGCGGCAATTCCCGAGTGCGATTTGGACTGCCGCTCTCGCGTTTCGAAATCGGCTAAACCAGCAGAGCGTTGATTTCTTAAAACAAACACCTGCCGAATGTCTGCAACCACGGGAATTCTTCTCAACCCATCCATGCGCAAACTTGTGTTCGAAGAACATGCGGCCCCAGCCAGTTGTATCGAATCCTGTTTGGGTCTTCCCCTTCTCATGGAATCTTCGGGGGGGGCTGGGGGGGGGGCTATCCCAGGATAAGCCCACAACCCAGGGATAAGCCCCTAAGACATTCAGGGCTTAAGGGATAGCCCCCCCCCATAGCCCTTGGGGGTCCATGATTTTGGGTGGGGAAACCTCCAGCGCACTCCCACGGTCCGGCATGGGCCGCTCCGGCCTCGGATCAAACGCGCTCGTCGGCGCCCAAGTCTGGAAAGACCAGAACCCTGACAGCCCGAATCTTATATATATATATATGTGTGTGTGTGTGTGATGGTTTTTGGTCAAGCAACGCTGCTTTTTAGGGTTGTTTGTTTAAACCCAAAAAAGCCAACGATTGCCCGAACATTGTTCGGTTTGCCTCCAATTGGTGGCTTGGAGCATGGTGGTTTGGTGTTTGGTGGTGGTTAGGGGGTGGTGTCCCATTTGCCCTCTATAAGAACCAGGGGCTCAATTTCCGAAATCACAATTTGCAGATTATGTAAATATGATTTTCGTGTGTGTTCGGAAACAAACATGGTTTGAGCCTTACTACATGTCGCTTCTTTAAACGCTGCTCACAATCAAACCCGCAAAAAAAAACAGGCGGGGGGGGGGGAGGGGCCCAAGACCTTATTTCTGGCCCCTAAGCAAGGTCTTGTTGCCTGCCCCCCCTCCCCCAATCAAACATTCTCAAAAGGAAGCTCCCAGCAACATACTAAACCAAATGAAAAGTCAAATCAAACAAAGCTCCAGCAATACTAAACCAAAATGGAAGCTCAAGACAAAATCTCAAAAGTCATCCCCAGCAATACTAACCATCTACTTTTACCCATTGAGCCCCTGAGTATGTTCCGGAATCCGAAGTTGATAGTCTGGGCTGTCCTGCGATCCCCTAAAACAGTTTAACTTTTAGTGATATATATATATATATATATGGACACCCAACTGTTAAAACAACTAAAAACAGCCCAAACGCCAAAGGAACAGGACGGTTGGGAATGGCCAGGTATCGTGAATTCTACTCCTCTGACAAAAGTGCCAAGTCTTCTTGCCCGTGGGCAGGCCGGCTGTCGTAGCGCTTTGTCCTGTCAGTGAAAAACAGCATTAGTTGCATCCTGGGGCTCCTCCTCAACCGCATTGCAATAGCCAGCTCTGTCACAGAAATGTCAACTTCCCTCTTCTTGGCAGTTTTGGAGCCGGGTGGTTTGGAGGCGTTCCGGGGTGGTTCTCATTTACCTACAAGAACCAGGGCTTCAACTGCCCAATCCAAACCATAATCAAGGGTTGCCGGCTATGAGCGCCTGAGGCCGGTACAGGGACCCCTCACTGCCGCTGTCCGGTTCCTAGGCTCGAAGGGCCTTTCGGTGGGTAGCTCTTGTGTTGTTTTTCCTTGGAGTCAAAACCAGGTTACCCCGAGCCTCAAGCTGACCAAACATGGGGAGCGTTGTCTTTTGGCTTCAGAAAGCCAAATCTGGACCCGCGTTTCAGGGAAGTTGATACTCTTTTCCTTCCGCTTTCCGTTCTCTATTCTTGGCCGTCCTTTCCATCCCTGCCATGGTTCAATCCTTCCACGCTCCCTTCCCTTCCCTTCCCTTCCCTTCCCTTCCCTTCCGTTCCCTCCCCTCCCCCTCCCTTCCTTCCTTCCTGCCATTTCATTATTCTTTTCTTTGGTTCTTTCTTTCTTTCTTTCCATCTTCATTCCTTTCTTATTCCGTCCTGTAATTTCCGTGGAGCCTGAAAGCCCCATGGCCGCAAAATGATGGCGTCATGATGGGTGGCTTAAAAGCCCACCCCACGCAATTCCACGAAAGGCCTCCGCTTAAAGGTGGACTCTTGCATTGTGTTGCTTCAGAACAAGGGGTGTTTGTTTAAAAATGCCACTTGCATTGCGGGACCAATTGATCCAGAATCTGTCTGGCTCCCTGCCACCACATGTGTCTGTCTGTAGTTTGAGATGGTCCTGGTCCCCTTTTCACCTGAGCTTGAAGGGAAACCAACAAGAATGCCACTCACTCGGGTGATTGCACACATGCCACAAGGTGGCGCCCAGTTGCAACAAGAATTGGAAGAATATTGCTTTCCGGGTCGATTCGATTGAGACAATCAACCAAACATACAGGGACCCTATGAAATATGAGCTTGTAAATAGTCATGTCAAGGCAGTTGAGTTTCTCGGTACGCTATGCAGTGGCCACAAAGCGACTGAAGAAAACGAGTGGAATCCACCGAACCTCCAAAATGGAAATAATCACCAAACCTTCAATAACCATCGGAAGAAAAGGGCACCCATTGTTCGTTTACTTTGAGGGAACCGCCCCTCTCCCCCAAAAAACCTGGAAGTAGGCGCTAGCTCAGGCTCAAGCTCGCGCTGGGACGATGTACTCCTGCGCCCCGGACCGCGCGCGCAGCAGGTCCTGCAAAGCGACACGACCTGACAAATAAATGGAACCATCTCCACTACCTGGACTCTCCGTCATTACCCAGAATATAGGGGTCATGACCCCATCTGAAAGGGTCATGGAGACTCCAGGTCTTGCCCTTTTGGACAGAACTTGGGATTTTGGGCATGGAATCAGCAGTTGTTGGGGGGTGCTGGTTTGGGCTGGTTTGTGAAGCTCAGAAGCTTCCGCTCTCCTGTTTCTTATTGGGTGTTGTTGGATTGACCCTTTTCAGGGGATCCGGAAAATTCTAAATACATTACAAAAGGTGACGCTGAGGAAAAAGCAACGAAACGGGGCAAAAGGCAAGCGACAAGAAAAGCGTTGGCATAGAATGCCGACGTGCCTTCCCCCTTCGGCCTGGCAATTTGGAATTTAGCAGCCCGCTCCCGAGGGCGTGCTGATGATACCCTGCAATGCATGTCTTCGCAGCCTCGGAAACGTTGTTTGTTTGAATGTGGGCAGCCCCTTTTCTTTTTGTTTTTGGTTGGCTTGCCTCAAAAAGGACCAGGCTCCTTTTTGAAGACAAACCTGCTTCTTCTTCTCTCTGGCAGCCATGATTTCCGTCACCAGCACGCTGGTAAACATGCGATGGGCTTGAGGCAAAGCACTAGCAACTGGAGCTTGTGGCCCCGAACTCCTAAATGATCTGCGCCTCCAGGCTGCTTAGCCAAGGAAAAGCTCAATAGTCCCAGCTTGCTTTGTTGGACTGATGATCCTCTTGGCCCCCCGAAAGCAACAGGATTAAGTAGGTTACGGTTGAGTGGACTTTCCAACTTTTCGCACACCTTCTCAATTGCTCCGCAGTTGGCGTTTGGCTTGTCCTACGAATCCACTCCACACAGGGGCATACATCAGCTGCTGCGCAAGCATCAAATTTCGTCGAGGCTTTGTAAACAGCGTCCACTCATTCCCAGGCCCTCTTTCCAACAATCATGGACGTGGACGGGAATTCTTTTCAGGAGAACTCTGGTGTTCAATCCCCCTGTCAACTTCCACTGTTGGGCACGAATAAGGAAACTAAGAGACCCCACACCACAGCTTCGCGGAAAAAAAGAGAAGACGAAAAACAAAAAACGCGCCGCTCAAGCCTCACGGCTTGGGTTGCCACCCCTGGCGCCAGCAGCCTGGCCAAGAGACTGGACAGAACGAGGAAGGCACCTCACATCATCAAACCTCCATTTGCTTTAGTCTTCTGGGAACAATATATCTACACACACATATATATATATATATATCTGTGTGTTTTTCCAGTAGTGATAGACTCCATTTAAAACCAACAGGTAAAATAGAACATAGTCTTAAGCAAATGGAAGCAGAGCGAGCTGAAATTGTACGTAAGCGAGCTGAAAGGCATCGCAGGTATGGCCACGGTTTCTGTGATCGTCATGCAACCAGCATTCAGCGTGGGAGCGGGCATGACTCACAGACCACACGCACAAGCAGCCCTGTGCCGGCTGCTTGTTTTGCAACTGTCGGGCCATTCAGTCAAACCAAACTAGAGCAATACGAAATAAATGGGTGTGACCTTGTTTTTAAGGAACCCCCCTCCCCCCACAAAAAAAGAAGAAGGTGGTGCTTGTCTTGGCTTCCCATTCAAACCACAAAACAACTCGACCAAAAAAGGGGCACCCACATCTCCAGGCAGGTTTCTGTAACAATCACCGACCACGTTTCTCTCGCGCCGGTCCTCCTGCAGAGCCCTGATCAAGTTCCTCAAGCTGGTCACCAGGCCCCTCCAAACTGGCTTCCGAAGCTAATGTTGACCCAGGATTAATAAACCCGTCCCATTATTAGGGGGGTGTTCCCTCCAAAAGTGATGAATCCCCACTAGAAGGGGACAAGGGGTTTATTAATCTGGGGTTAGCATTATTGCCTAACCAACCTCCCTTTGGCTTCTGACTTGAATGTTCAACGGAATCAGAGAGGGGGGGTGTTTCTTGTTTCAATACACCCAGAAGCCATGCCAAATGCACCCAGAAGCCCTGGAAGCGCCAGACAGGTGGATCCATCTGGACGCAAAATATGGCAGATCCCATGACCCCTTGGGAAGCTGGGCTTCCTCCGTTCAGCCGCCGATCCATGTGAGCAAGTTGTGAATAGGCTCAAAGCTGGCATTTTTCTGGACGGGGGCACATGGTGGAAACTGTCCCAACCAGGAAAAAGACCAAAGAAGAGTCTGGCAATGGAAGGGAGCTCAGGTTGTCCTGAGCTCCGAAGCAACGCCGCGTGCCGAGAATCAACCAATGCCGAGAGTCTGGTCATTGGCTTGGACCCCCGCTGCCTGGCAAGAGGCTTGTGCACCGTCAAGAAGCTGACGTTGAGGTTGAGGGGAGTGAAGCTTAATCAGTTGATATTCTAGGGTTAGCTTCCAATTCCATTCTTTCCAGGGATCCGAATCTTTTCAGGAAACCATCCAAAACCCAGGTTGGAAACAGATCCGGTTTTTGAAAAGAACGCTGGTTGAACAGAATGGAATCAACCCCCTAGAGATATCAGTTGCTCATGGCCGTCACCAAAAGTTTGCCGGGCCCTCTGCTCCTTGCTAGGAAAAGGGGCGTTGATCGGCTTTGATGCCAAGCGCAACCATAGACTTGCACGAATGGCATGCAAATTTTGCAACATGTCCAAAGCCTGAATTCAGGGATCCCCAAGTACAGGACCTTTGCCCTAATAAGCTCGTTTTCCCCCCGAATCGGTGAGCTCGCAATAAGTCCCCAGGCCCCAAACGCTTCGTCCCAAATCAGCGGTGAGCCTCAAGGACTTCGGGCCTTCGGCCTTTACCTGACTGAGGGGTGCTGGAAGACGGTTTTTCATTTAACCTAAAGACTTTACCGAAATGGACCAAAAAGGGACAGCCGAAAGGTTAAAAGGTCGAATTTGAACGACTGAGAGCAATATGGGCTTGTTCAATGGCAAATGCGCATGAAAGCGTGCAGCAAGTTGCAGCAGGTTTCTGATCCTCGTCCTACTTCAGATTAAAACAAAAAAACAATGAGTCCCTGATGTGGCCATGGGACAATGAATCATAGCTCGTCCCCCCAAGGTTCCTCCCAAACTGACTTAAAACCACTGCATGGCGCGACCTGCAACCCACTCAATGGTTCCCACTACCCCCAGTTGTTTGATTGTGGCCATGGCTGTAGTGGAGCCCATCTTTAATCACGAAGGTTTCGACGTTTTGGCGCCTTCAATGCAGCCCCAACAATCTCTGGAGGCGGCCGCCCGGCATCAGGCGCCGCCAGAAGCAGCATCCGCACCTAGAGGGTTTGCAGCATTGGCAAAGGCGGCCTGCTGGAAAGGTAGATGGCCCTGGTAAATGGAACCAACCTATCTAAACCAGTGACATCCATTTGTTAACCAAACTCATTTCTACAAAGGACGCCTAGGCACATTGGGAGGTGGCAACCGCTCTGCTTGTGGGTTCCTTTTGTTTTGCCTTGAACACCGGCCAGCAAATGTGTGCTCACCCAGCTGCCATGGAAGATTCCCCCCTCCCCCCCACCCCCGAAAAACAGGCTAGTTATGGTCAAGGCAAGGGTTGCCGCATGAGGTTTGCGCTGAGACCATACCCAACAAATGAGCACTGGGGGGGTCTACCACACCTCATGGCATGAAACGCAAAAACATCACTCAAGATCCGCGCAGCTGCTATTTCTGAGGCTTCGGGGCTCATGAGAGACTGGTAGATGGCGGTTCTGGACGCTTTCCGTTTGGCATGCCAAGTGCGGGCTTGTAGAGTAGTGGACCTCGACATGTTTTCAATAACTAGGTCTTCCAGTAGAGAGGTTAGACTAAGGGTGCCCCTTCTTTTTTCTGTGGTCTATTTTAGCAGGGGAACCCTCCCCACAAAAAGAACTTGTAGACTCTTCAAAGCACCACATTGGTGCTACTGGTACCTTAATCGCGAACGGTGCATCCTTTACGCCGCATAAGGATTAGTGCCAAAATGGGAGGATTGCCCAGCTCCACTGGGCAGCTCCCCTCAGCAGCTGATGGGAGTAGAATTGATGCCACTCCCACAGCGAGGGAGGAATCCTCCCACCTCACCGGATGCCCTCCCGGCATCATGGGTGAGGAAGGAAAGTAGCGAAGATCAGCTTGATCAATTCGCTTTCGACTGAGGGGAAGACCCGGTTCTCAGTCGGAAATTGCGGGTCCGGATGAGTAAGTTCATCCGCCCATGTGTTAAAGTCGCGCTTCACATGCGACGGTCCTAACATGACCTGGTGGTCATGCAGTGTTAACACAATTTCCATGAGGATGGCCGCATTGGGCATCCTGCGAGTGGAATCGTTAAGCAGGGAGAAAACGTTTCCCTGGTTATCACTAGCAACCAGAATCCTAGTGTGAGAAGCCGAGCCGGCTGCACAAAGCAGAACAGCCCTCACCAAAGGAGGAGGCCGAAGAGCTCCAAGGCCGCTATCGCCCGCTGCGGGTCCCCAGTAGTGAAGGCCCACGGCTCGCCCTCCGGTGTGATTCTGTGTTGGAACCACTTCACTCGGGACTTGTCGGGGTTGGGCACGTCCGAGCACCAACCACCAACCCATGCATGGTCCGCCTGTTTGCCAGCTCCCGCATCAGATGCCCCCGTCCATGGAAGTGTGGGAGCAAATGGAGATGCCAATGGGAACCTCTGGTTGAAGAGCTTCCCCAGAAGGATGGCCAGAGCACGAACCAGTTTCGGTGGCCTGCCCGAAGTGGTGCAGGCCTTCTTCCAGCTCCAGAAGGGCTGGAGGAAAGGTTTCGTCAATGGACACGCCGAAGTAGCCCATTGAATCCGGCCCAGGGCTTGTTCCACCTCCTTGCTGGTAAAGATGTCCCCCTGGGCCAACCGTTTGAGAGTGGCCAGGATTATGACGTGCTTGACTGGAGCCAGCAGCACACAGGGCGTGATGGGGTCCACCACGAATCCCAACCAGGTATTGACCGGGGAGAGCGCCGTCTTCTTCCAAGAAAGCGGGACTCCCAGCGCCAGAAGAGTGGCCAGGATGGCTGTGGCGTCCCAGTCCGCCCTGCTGCATCTGAGGACCCAGCAGTAGTCGTCCACAAAAACTAAGTGCCAGTCTACCTGAGGGAAGATGTAGTACAAGAGTCTGAGCACCAAGGATGCCTTTCTTCCCCAGTACAGTTGTGCCGAGGCCATGCCGTACGTGCCCACTCTATTGACCCACCACCGGTTCTGGATGCAGGCCACCTGGTATTTCCAGTCTTTCTGGAGCACTTTTATGCGCCTGTGGGCCTTGGTGACATCCGCCTTGAGGATGATGAAGGTTTCCCCCTGTGTCGGCGGCTGCCACGTCAGGGGTTCCCCCCTGCTCCCCCCAGGGCGTTCCGTGCCTGGGGGGGTTGGGGGGAATGGGGCCCTCCTATCAGGGCCCTCGGCACCTGGGAGTGGCCCCTTCCCTGAGAGTGTTGACCGCGGAGAGACGTCCAGGCCGCCGGAGGTCTCCATCATCCGCCTGCCCCTATCAGGGCCCTCGGCACCTGGGGGCAGGCTGGTGCTGTGGGGGTCCCTCTCAGGGCCCTCGGCACCTGGGGACTGCCCCTGCACCGGCTGGTGAACATCCCGAGGTTCCTCATCAGTCGGAGTAGATGAGGATGGTCCGCCGCTGTCCTGAGCCAGTGGATGGCATGGAGGCAGTCTCCAACCATCGGTGCGGTGGTCTTCTCCTCCGTGTGAGCCTGGATGTGTGCGTTTGCTCCCCCTTTTGAGCCATCATAGATCGTCCTGATCTTGTCCGACTCATCAATCCCTGCAAGGGGGCCCGGGCAAAGTTCCTCCGGTTTGCAGCGGCACCTCTCTGCCGCCTCGGAGCGAGTGAAGGGCCCGTCCACCATGTCCAAGGCTCGTTCCTCGTAAAAGGTTGATTCGATTTCCTTGGCAAAGAGTTCAGCCGTTGGGTAGTTACCATGAGCCACTGGCGGGGGGGGATCTTCCCCCAGCCAGGCTTCTCCCTTAAGCTCCTCCTTAGTGGGCCAAACTCCCGGGGAGGTCAAGGTAGGGTCCGAGACTCCCAAGGGGACCCCCTCTTTCAGTGTTAGGGGGAACTCCCAATCAGGGTCACCTGAAAGGGATGCCAAGTGCGACACTAAGTCCAGGAGGAAGGGTTGTCCTGGGCATCGTTCATGGAGGTGCCTCGGTCCTAGGATAGCCCGCAGCTCTTCGAGGTCGGCTTCCTGGAAGGGGTGTGTGGTGGCACCTGATGCCAGGGACATTCGGACCTTGTCAATCCAGGGACGGGTAAGGGTCATGATCAGGGCGCCCAAAGTAGCCAATGGGGAAATTCTCCGAAAAGGGGGGTTGAGCCTCCCTGGGGAAGGTTTTCCCCCCCCATCCCTCAGGGGGCGTGAGCGGAAGCCCAATTGGACAATCGCCGCCCGGTCAGTGAGGTGTGGGACCCTGAAGGCGGGCAGGCATTCGGGGCGGTCCAGGACCTGGTCCCCCTGTCCCTCCTTCCCCAGTTGTTCCGCATCTCCGGCCATCGGGGGCATGGGAGATGGGAAGTCTGGGTTCATTGTTCCACGAGGGCTTACGGTGTCTGCCTCAGGGTGGAACTGCCCGTGCAGGCGGGGCTTCGGGGCGTTCTTGCCTCCGGGCTTTGAGCCTTGGTGTGATGAGGAGGGACCGCCTCCTTGACTGGGCCCCCGATTTTTTCGGGGGGAATGGCCCTCCGAAAGGTCCGACCCCCGCCCCTTAGGTGGTCCCTTGGGGTTTCCCGGAAGTTGTGAGGGGATCCGGATGTGCCCCGGCGCTGCGAGTGACACAGCGATGGCTTTGGCCAAGCCTGCCATCATATCCCAAGGGTATCTGCTAAGAGTCGAGGACTTGTTGGTGCCCACATGTGACTGATGCGTGCACCGCATTTGATCCCAGTCCTGGATCGGGAGATCCGTGGCCAGCGTAGTGGCCTTCTTGACCAGCTGGCCCAGGCGGCACTGGTCGAAGGAGATTGCTGTCAAGGAGTTCTCCTCCATCCAAAGCTGCCCCTCCTCTGTGATCCAGAAGGATGAGCATTCCTTGGCTTTGGGCAGCGAGCTGCTCACCACTGGGTCCTCCGGGTGTTCCAGGAAGGACCTGGGCCCTGGCAGAGAAACCGCCGCTCGCGAGGCCCTTGCCAGGCTGGTGATGTACATCTGTCTCAGAATGAGGATGCTGTCATCGTCGAGTTGAGTCTGGGCGGCCTGGTCCAGGTGTGGAAGGCCCCAGAGTGTCTCTGGAGTGCGCCCTCGCACCGGGGTGGGAGCCCCCGGTTTTGGTATGTGGCGCAGGAGGGACCATGTCCTGCAGTTGGGTCCTCCTCCAATGAAGACCACTCGGCCATGCTTTGCTGCCGTGCAAAGAGCTCCATACAGCTCGGGTTGGAGCATATCGTGGTCCCCCTTGGGTCCAGACCGTAGGATGTCTACCGCCACCACCATGCTGGAAAGGTGTGGGTAGTTGGCATGAAGACAGCTGTCCAAGGAAGTAGGGTCCTCCTTGCCTGCATAGAGCAGGACAATGATGGGCCCACTGGATGGAACTTTGGGCGATGTGCCCTGTGTCCATCTCAACCGCTGTACCAGACGCTCAGGGATGTTCTCCATCCACGGGAAGATATCCAATCCCGGTGACGGCTCCGTTGGACTTGTCAGGGGGGTAGCTGAAAGGCGTTGGCCCCCTTCATTCAGCCCCACCGAGCTCTTGTGGAAAACCACCGGGTCCTGCTTGATGATGTTGGGCGCCGGAAGTGGGATCGGCTGCCTCCTGGGAGTGTCCCTTGGCGTTGCGGTGTGCTGCCAGTTATCCGGCACTCGGGCCTTCTGGGTGCGGCCCCCCGTGTCAGGGCCCTCGGCACCTGCGGGGAACCGTCCCGTCCCCGCCCTATCAGGGCCCTCGGCACCTGTGGCTCGGGACTGAGGCGCCGCCGGTGTGCCGGTTGTGTGGCTGTTCTGATCACGGCGAGGGCGTTGTACACGCTGGTTCTGCCGCCCCCATCCTTGGTCCGCCGAGGATGGCCGCCACCTGGCCTGTCCCCCCCCTGTGTCAGGGCCCTCGGCACCTGCAGGAGGGGGCTTCTGTGCCTGCTTGGGGCGTTTGCGCCCCTTCTCGCCCCCCCGGGCCTTATCAGGGCCCTCGGCACCTGAGGCCTCCCGGGGGGTAGGGGTCAGCGCCCCTAGTCAACCCGGGCAGTCCTGCGGGAGGTGGTCCCCCAGGCAGATGCGGCCCATTGCCAGGATGAGGTTGCACTTGTGGGTGCGGCCGCAGTTGCCCGGGCAG